CATCCCTGACAAACAGCTCCGCAAGGGAATGATCCCAGCTAAGCAGTGGGTCTATATCCTTAAAGTCAACAGGACGGAGCAGGAAACCCACTGCTGCCTTCCCACCCATGGGATGGGCACAGCATCCGCTCGGCACAACCCTGCCCTCTTGGTAAGGGGCTGGAAGGGACTTTCAACACCCCTCACACACTAACAACCCAGGTGTGGCTGCAGCCACTTCAGTGGCAGCTTCACAGTGAAGTCTCTGCTTTCAGCAGACCTGAGGCGTGTTGTGATGGAGGAACAGGAACCTCGAGGTCTGCAGGATGCGAGCCCAGCCTTGCAGGAAAACCAACTCGCTACGGTGTCAAAACCCAACAGAACACTCCAGAGCCTGCACTCGGGACACGTCCTGTGCTGCACGTATCACCAGTGCCCTCTGTGCAGAGCCCTCCTGCTCCGAAACCAGCCCAGTGAATGGAGAGCAGCTATGAGAAAGGCTCATGCTCTACATGATAACAACTCGCACGTCTGCTGAGCAAACCACTGTTTCCTGAACGGAGGTGCCAGGCATGACTTATTGCACATGCTGGAGCAACCGTCACCGCCTGCAAAGCGACAAACAGAGCGAGAGCCTTTCCTGGTATTTGGTGCATAAATCAGGGTGCGTCCTGTGAGGCTGCTTGAGATTCTGCAGTTGAGAGCTCCCTGGTTTCGCTTGAGGTGCTGGCTGTAGGAGTGCCTCTCTAGGCAGGGTGGGTTTAGCCTAAACCACTTTCTATCATAGCATTTCTATAGCCTGCCTGGCTGGAGAGTACAGCCTGATGCTGCTGCAGCAGAGGGTTGCCAGAAGCCCCTGTGGGCATCAGGTAAGGCCATACCTGAAGGACTAAGCACTTGCTTCCTGGTATATTGTCCTTTCCCTGCAGCTAATATCCTTTCCTTTCACTCCACATCTCGTCCATGGGGTGGGAAGTGACTCTATCATTACTCACAGTCTGGCAGGCTGATTGCTGCATAAACGTTTGGTTTTGCTCTTATCCCTGCAGGTATTCATTAATCATCCCACCAGGTCCATCCCCAACAAGTGCCCAGCACACAGCATTGCCTGCAGGCAAGATTCTAATCTGAGGGTAACAGGGAATTAAACCCAAGAATGACTGTAGCCCTTTTAAGCCACACGCAGTTCAAACAACAATATGAAAGCTTCCTTAGATATGTTTCTAAGACATTAGACATCCCAGATCAAGACCTATTAAACCCCAGACCCTGCAGTTTACCTGCCCTTATTTCTCATCCTAGTGCCCCAGTATATTAGCTGGAGGTCTCCTCCCCAAACCCAACACATCTCCACCAGCAGGACCGCACTCCTAGTTTATGTCAAGCACCTCTATCCTTGGGTAACAAGCAATAAAAACATCAAGCAATATCAAAGTACCTGCTGCAAGGAGGAGGCGATGCGATGCCAGCTCCCAACCTGGCTCTGCTGCACATCACTTTGTGGTGTGCCACCCCAGGAGCTCTGCTTTCAGATAAACAGCCCCACTGGCTCCTTTTCTTGCTAAAAAACATCAGACACAGCCCTTACTAATAAGCAGGATATAGCCAGTGAGGCATGCCCCTGGCTAAGCTGCTCCATGGAAAACCCAGAGCATGGCAGGGAGCTGAGCTGAGGCAAAGAGCTGCAGGTGCTGGTCACAATACTTAAATGCAAATGACAACAAAACCCACTCACGAGATAAACAGCAACACATGGGAGCACACCAGAACCCATACAAAAGTGCACTGCAGCAGCTCTACTTCCTATTTCCTTTTCCTTAGAACTCTGAAAATAATAGCTGCAAAGGTCAGGGGCTTTGGGGACAGTTGAATGCAAACAGGCAGCAAAGAACACTCAGGAGCCAGGTCCCAAACCCCATTTCCAGCCTGATCCTTCCTACTGATTTCCTACCTGGAGTACCATCAGGAGCAATGCACTGCAATGCAGAAGCTGATTTATGAGAGGAGCTTTGGTGGCAGCAATACCTGGTGGTGGGATCTAGGGATGCCTAGGGCAGGAGGGACCAGCTCAGTGATGCAGCGTGGGGCTGCCAGAGCCCAAAAGGCAGCTTTGGGTCTGAACCAGCTCTTTTCTGGTGATGCCCGCTGAAGTGTCTCTTGCAAACAACCAAATTCCAACTGGTTTTTATGTTGAAGCAGCACCAAGGCTCCTGGCCAAAATCAGCATTGAACTGTGAGAGTCTGCACAGATACTGAGGTGTCCTTGGTCTAACAGCCTAGGAGAAAGGACACACAAAGCAGAACAGGAATCATCACCCAGACCCTGTGTGTTGCACCATCACCAGAACCACCTTCCTCCCCCTCCTCACCATGGCGCACTGTGACCCCCAAATGGCAGCACCATCCCTGGTGGCAAATGAGGCCCCTGGGCACTGTGGTGGGACCAGCACTAGTTAAATACCCCAAAAAGACACAAACAGCAAGGTGGGGTGAGCTGGTGGGAGCGGGACTGCAGGTATCACTTGGCCAGCTCCGGCCCTATTCACGGCAAGGATCCCAGCAACTATCTAATGGTCTGACACACACTGTACAGGGTATTTGAGATACAAGTTGGTGTCTGTTTAATGTTAAAGGTCAGGGAAGTGGCCCAAGGTTTGGTGAAAGAGAAAAGAAAGAAGGGTCTAGCTAAAAAGAGTGGGGAAAGTCAGGTGCGAAGGAGAGAGGTTATCCCCATGGCCAGGAAGCGTGGTGAAAGTATTTTACTCTAGCTTGTATTGCTTGTAGTCATCAAAATATAGAAGGGATGATAAATGCCTGTTTGAAGACAAAATGCAACAGGAATAGAATCATAGAATCATAGAATAGTTCGGGTTGGAAAGGACCTGAAGATCACCCAGTTCCAACCCCCCTGCCATGGACAGGGACACCTCACACTAAACCATGACACCCAAGGCTTTGTCCAACCTGGCCTTGAACACTGGCAGGGATGGAGCATTCACAACCTCCCTGGGCAACCCATTCCAGTGCCTCACCACCCTCACAGGAAAGAATTTCCTCCTTATATCCAATCTAAACTTCCCCTGTTTAAGTTTGAACCCATTACCCCTTGTCCTGTCACTGCAGTCCCTAATGAAGAGTCCCTCCCCAGCATCCCTATAGCAAGGACTTAATTTCAAATAGTTAAAGTATGTCTTGGTCCAAGGCTGAGAGATCCTTGGCAAGTAAGTGATGAAAAGGGCTTGAAGTCGATGAAAGAGGCAGTATCAGGAAATGGGAACTGAAGCAATATCTACTGGTGGGAAAAGAGAAGTGGCCGGGATATTTCTCAGCTGGTTTCACATCCAGGCACCTCCTTCCACACACAGTCACTCCTGCTTTATAGTGAGTGGGAAAGTGAGAGGTCTGAGCCAGGCTCTGTATCACCAAGGGTATAAGGATGCCAATGGAAACACATGAGTGGGAATGCTTCATGGAGCACTTCATATTTAAGACACCATTTTCCCTCTCATGCAAAAGCTGCAATAGGGAGAACAACCCCTCAGTTGCAAAGTCTGGCTTCCTGCTGGCACGCTTGAATTGCTTTCTACCCAGAGGAGAAAACATTAAAACCAAAAGGATCGTTACTTATGCTTGGCATTAAGGACTATTTTGGCTTAGTAAATGAATGTGTAAGTGGTAGGAGTAAGATGCAGACTAAAGAGCACGGCAAAGTGTAGAGGACACGTTGCATCTTGGTACCCAAATGTGGATGGATGGCAGGAAGAGTTACAGAAGCACTGGGGCAAATCAGCACTGAGCTCCTATCCAGCACCAAAAGTTGCTTTGGGACATGGGTTCATATTGGTCTCATACATGGGAATCACAAGACACCCCCAGAATAAAGTGACCCCCGACTCATGCCCATGGGGCCAGCACAGAAGGCTGCGAGTAGGGACACTTGTGCTTGTTCCGGCTGTAGCATCTGCATCACCTCCCTCCAGATCTGTAGTTGTGCAGGTTTATTTTAGAAGACCCAAGTAGAGGGGCAGGTTTATGTTTCTGCTTACTTATATTTACATCATAAACCACATAAATATATCCCAGCACCGCAGCAACCGACCACACGAGCCAACAGACAACAGCCTTCCTTGGCTGTACCCAGAGACTGGGCTTGGTTTAATTCCTAACATAATTCTGCCAAACAGGGACTTCCTGCTTCTTCCTATTGTAACTCAGGGTATTGTATGCTGTCTAAAAACACATTTGGAGAGGCTGTTTTATTGTGGGTGTTTCTTCAGTACCAGTTTGTAACTTATATCCTCACCTGTCAGCTGCTTCATCCCAATCTGCTTTGGAATTGGGCAGTGGAGTTTAATGAGGTTAAAGTAAAACCTCTCAAAGATTAAGGAGGAAAAAGCTGTTTGGATTTTGAAAAGAGGGGTTTAGAGAGTGGGTGCACAGATAACAGCAGTGAGAAAGGGAAGTGCTGCTCAGGATTTCTCTGTTCACAACACTTGAATGCTTGCAGCAGATGGGGGTCCTGTGCACAGTGACTGCGGCTTCCACCCCGAGCAGCTCTTTACCTTCCATCAAACACAAATCTGGTGTCTCCATCACCACTACCTAACGCAGGATTTCTAGTGCAAAGGAGGAAACCGGCGTGGCTGGAGCCACAGGTAATGCAGTCAATTCAGAGGAGAACGCAGCGGGTTTGCACCCACTGCAGGCTGCAGGGATGGAGGAGGGCAAGGAATGAGTGTGATCCGGGCACACGGGTTCTGTGTTGTGTCCCCATCTTAAAACACATAACAAGGAGGATGCAATTCACTACAGGTCTGGTTTTCACCATCTCTCAGAGTCATTTAGAAACACCAGCAGGGACCGGTGAAGCAGCAATACGATTACTGAACTTACACTCACCTCTAAGCAGCCTGGGAAACAGTAACCACAAACTTGAAGTGAATATATCCAAAGCCACAGGGATTCTGCCTCTTTTTTTTTCTCTCTCTCCCCCCCCCCCCTTTTTAGCTCATCAGCCACAATACTTTATAAATACATTTGTAATACATCAAAAAAGAAGAACTGAAAACTCCAGAGGTGCATTTTATGCAGTATGAAATGTGGTCATCTCCAGTTTCATATCTTAAATCTGGCTTTTGCTGTATTCCAGGATAAGACTCAGCTTGAAAGGAGCTGTATAATGGCCTATATGGACAAATGTTACATATACAAAGGAGAAATGCATCCTGCCAGCATCCTTGAGGAAATCTGCATCTGAAATCTGAACTAAAATGTGAATCTTCAAAGATGTTTGTTTTTTTTTTCCCAAAACCTGTTTTATTAAACTCCTCTTTAACATCCTTAATTTAATTTTCAGTGCAGATGATGCTACTTATCAAATGCTTTCTAAATAATATCTGAGTAGGTATAGCACTGTATTTTAGGATAAGAAACCTACATATAGTTGCTCAGTTAGTGAAGTCCCTGTTTCAAACCTCCTTCAAATAGTGTGACAACCCCAGAGGCTGTATTGTAGAGATACAATATACACATTCATTCCACCATGTCCCCATGTGCCTGTGGGAATATGAGCTTTACATTCCTGATACATTCACAAGCTGATTTCTAATGAACCAAGTAGTTCCAGGAAGGCGAAACGTGCTCCTGAAGAGAGGGATTGAAGTGGGATGAGTTAGTTCAGCCGAGGTTGGTCTTTCTTTTGCGCTAGGCAGGGGAAGCCCTTGCTGGGATCCCTGGTTTTGGTCATTTGGCCACTGAAATCCAGAGGGACCTGATAACGACCTTGGTAGGGTCAGAGTTTGAACGTCAGTGAAGGTAAATCCAGCAGTAACAGACACAAACAAGGTCAAAACCTCCAACAGCGACGCGATGTGAGGTGGCAACCATCCTTCATTGCCTCACACCACGGCTGCGTGCCGAGGCAGTTGGCTGCTTCCATCAGAATGAATCCGCTTCTCTGGAAGTGACCTAAAACCACACAGCTGCAATGCCAGCATTCCCAACGCCCCCACGAAGAGCAGGCACAGGCTGTGTTCTGGCTGCAGCAGGCATGAGGAACGCCAGAACTAAGATCTTAGTCTTTCCCAGTTGCAAAGCGCGTGGCTCAGAGCCTGGATGCAGGAGCAGGAGTGACTCAACCGACTTTCTTCTGCTTTTCCCTGCAGTGTCCCCTTGTCACAGCAGCCACCCAACAGCTGCTGCACGGTGAAAGCTTCCCCATGGCCACTGCCCAGGCTCCGGGTGTGCAGCCCATCAACCGCGGCTCCACGAGCATCCACATCCCTGCTTCCAACAGGGACCTTTCCCAGCTCTGGCTTCATCCCGTGCCTCTTCTGGCTATAAACCATGGATCAGGAGCTGTAAAGAAAGGGGCAATGTTAGCATATTGAATATTACTGTATTCTTAGATCAGCTGGTAAAAAGAATTCTTTCTTCGCCAAAATGTATTGATTTTTTTACATGCCGATACCCATTCTCCCTGAAAGTGTTATATTTAGATATATATTTATATATATATATTTATTATATTATGATATATTATGTTATATTATATTTTATATTATTTTTATATATTTATATTTATATTTACACACACGCACACATTTTTACCGCACTGGTACCAAACCAGCTGACAGTGTTTCCTTCAGCGGACAGCAGGGTCTGCCCTGCAGAAGGCATCACCACGGCAAGACATGAAGATGGAGAACTGCATTTTCTAATGCTCCTACCTGAGGTCACTTCCAAGACAAGGATTCTCTCCTCACGGTCCAGCTGGAAGGTGAAAAACCTAAACTGGGGATCCTAAAACTTCTGTAACCCTCCACCAAGAGCCGTGGGTGTCCTCGCAGAGCCTCTGCTTCCCCAAAGTTTACCCATTTCTGCCTCCTCAGCTCACTGTGAAAAACAATTTCACATATTCCTTACCTCCTGTGCTGTCCAAAGGTGCTTTTACTGTCTAAGATCTGCTTTCTGCATGACCCAAGATAATGCTTAAACACTTGGATGTGACAATGTCCAGCTTGTAACAAGAACGAGCTGGAGGTGTTCGGTCATGCTGGGACTTGCAGGCTTTCCATGCCTTGTCCTGTGCATCACAATGACTAATGCAGGGCTTGCTGCTGGCTAGGAATAGATCAAGGAGGTATCTGAAGCTCTGGAGTTTATGGCTACCCAAGCAATGAAACTCAAGCACATTGCATACAATGAGAAATGCGAACCAAGACAAGGAATTCTGCGCTGCTGAAGACCCAGGAGATGGCTCTGGCATGGGGATAAGCTCCAGCCTTCAGCTTTATTTCCATCGTTTTCAGCTTCTGGAAAAGGGAATGTAAATAAGTAGTAGATCAGATTGTTCTGGTGCTCTAAAACATTGTACTTGGCGTGCATTTCAGCTTATTCTCTTTCATTCATGCAAAGGCACTGCTTAATGCTTTCCTGTCAGCAGCCAGCCCTAACCTAAAACACACCCGCTGGATGATGTAAAATTCCTTGACCAATATTAATAAGCAACAACCATCAACCACTCAAAAGAAGGTTGGAAATAGCTGATGTAAACCCCAGGACAAGCCCTTTGCAGAAGGTTCCTCACTTCTCAGCCATTCCTGTTCGGGTAGGATGAACTCAGGCATCATCCTGGGAAGCAGCTGTGGCTGTATCCTGCACTTACAGGGCTTCCAACCGTGTTTCAGCTGAATTTCCCTACACAACAGCGAGGGCTGGTGGCAGTCCTACTTATTTATGGAGTCAGTGGAAAGCCACATGAGCTGGCATCACTCCCACAGCATCCGTCACCTGCGCCTTGTACACAGCCAGTGCTGGTTAGCAATAGAAAGCACATGAACATAAAGGGGTGACTCAACTACATCACGAAATGAGATGAAATCAAATACTTCAATGTGCAGAGCATTGTTTGTCTCAAACAACTAAAACAAATGTTGAAATCTGAGTTGTTTGGAGCTTGCTCATCACCGCGCTTTTGTCTCAGGAAACGTGATTTAGATCAAAAGGGAATTTCCCACCAGCATAAATCACCCCGTATAAATATAAAGCCAAAATAAAGGGCTTCAGTTGTGTTTATTATAACAAGAAACCCCACCATGAGCAGCTGTCTTGTGGAAATGAGATGAAATACTTGGGGTTTTCTCAGCCCCTGACCTGTGTCCACCTGAGCCACCATCAACCCATGAAGTTGCTAAGGAACTTTTGCACCTCCTGACCTCACTTCTGTGGTCAGAGTCCTCAGCCAACCTGCACCACTCACAGCACAATGTATTTAACCTTTAACTTAACCTTGGTGCTATCCCATGGACGTTCATGACCACAAACAAGTCTGTCCCCAGGGGATGCAGCCCTGTTTCCTGATGCATCCTGCCCTGTTTTGATACTAAGGAGCACCACAGTGGGTGACTGCCCTCAGAGAGGGGCTCACTGGAGACCCTTCCTATGCTGTATTTAGAAAGGGTGACTGAAAAACCTGACAATATGGGGTTTCAGCTTCATACCCGACAAATTCTTTTATCTCCATTAACACCCGTCAACACACTGACAAGACAAGAAGAAAACATCAAGGCCAACTTACATAATACTGCTAATATCAGTAGGTTGAGTCACAGAACTTATGTCAAAGTTTCCTGCAGAGACTGTTTCATTTGCTTATGGCTTTTCTTTTCCAAGCTCAAGCAAGCACCTTTGGAGCCCATCTAAAACCAAGCCAAGAAATGCAAGCTTGAAGTTGACCTTCAAATGTGCGAGATGATAAAGGAGGCAACTTCACCAAAACAGAGCGAGCCCTCGCCGTGAGCTGCGGCATCACCTTCCTCCTCTCACCCTGCTCCTCACGCTTCAGAAACCACAGCTCTCTGAAGCTCTGCTCAGCCTGGGTTGTGCAGCTATTTCCAGCACCGCCGCTGTACAGCGGCCAAGTTCACAGACTTATTTATGTGATTTTTCAGAACTTCCTCCAAGGGTCTCTCTCTCTTTTTTTTCCCATACTCAACGTTTTTGCTCTTCCTAGGTCAACCAAAAGGCATCTTTGCCTTGGCGTCGTGCCTATCTGCGTGCTCCAGTCGCTGCAGTTCTTATGGTGGGTGCCAGCTCCCAGGGCGGGTGGAAAAGGCTGGGCAGGGGGGACCCCACTTATTTACTAAGAGCCCATCAAAAACTATCTCTGTAGAGCAGATCCAGCCCCTTCAGAGCTGAAAGGGCAAGGATTTGGGTGCTTCCCCATGGGAAGGCAGCTCCCAGGCGGCTTCCTGCTGGGTACATGCTTTGCAGACTGAAAGCAGTGCTGGTTTTCCTCCCTTTTTATGTCCATTGTGAGGCCTGCGTTGAGTTCCCCATCCTGCTGAGGACTTCACTGAGCGCTGTTATGTGCCAGTGCTCTGAGTTATTGCCCTGCTTGAAGGCAGAAAGGAAGGCAGTGGAAATGACACTGGCGGGGTGTAAGTGCAGAAGCACCGTGAGCAGACACATGCTCCAACGGATGCTAAGGGCAGAAATTCTGTTTTCTGACAAATCCCCAACTCCAACCCTATAGTACACAAGGTCCATGCAAGACTCTTGGATGCACATCAAGCGAGTGCAGGTACGAAGCTTGCACATGCCAGTTTACAAGAGCAGAGGACTGACCTCTTTAATCCCCTGCTCTCATCTGTTAATAAAGCACAGAAAGTAGGCTCGGTGGTGCTGCATTCTGCTAAACTCAGGCTCCAAAACCAGCTCCAAGTCTCAACAGCCATGGATGAGATGTTCCTGGGGCTTTGCTCATTCACCCTCTTGGGTCCGTAAGCTCTGGGAGGGCTGCAGCTCCCCGCATGCAGAGCTCAGCGTGTAGTTATTAATACAGCACACCATGGGAGGAGGGGGTGAGCGTACTTGTGTGATGGAAGCCACCAGGCTGAAACATTCAGAGCATCAAACACAGAGGACATTCAATCCTAGAATCCCAGGGTGGAAGCAACCTCAAAGATCACCTGCTCCAACCTTCTAGGCAAAGCAAGGCCTAGACTAGATGTCCCATTCAATGTACTCAAGTGTTTTTCTTCCTTTTATCAATGGCTGCTTCGACTCTTCAACTTTTTTCCTGCTTGACATGTAAATGCTGCCTCAAGCTCTTGCTGTTCCCATGTCAGGTGAATGCAGTCAGCTTTCTCACAGCAAAATCACCCAAAAGCCTTGAAACCTGAGAGACACGGGATTGCCAAGGAGAAGAGACTCCTTATGCACCCTCAGCTCCTGCTCCAACCTGGCCCAGCCTCTGGTGCAGCAGCAGAGGTGTGCATGAGGCATGAGGATAGACCATGCCTAATTCTCAGCTGATGCTGCAACACTCAGCTCCTCCCTCATCCACGTTAATCAGGCATCACCCACCTGCGAGTGCAAGAGGCAGGGCAGGGCTGCAGTGAGGTTCAGGGCACTGCTGGCAGCTATTGCAGCCCTGAGAAACAGCCGAGTCAGCCTCACATGGGATAAACTGTTGACTCATATTTCCAGTTTCTGATGGTTCCAACCAAAATGCATCTGTTGGGAATTCACGTGATTCCGGGCTTTCCTGTGTGAGCCCCCCTCCCTTATTCCCTCATTCCCTTAAAACGTCCAGTGCAGCAGTTCTCAATGGAAAGTGCAATTCCTAAGGCTCCCAAGGGCCCAGATACCTGGTGAGGATACGGCGGCAATGAGGATGAGCTAAAGCCATCACTCACAGTTCTGGCAGACAGAGCGCCCCGCAAGCAGGGAGACCTCAGCCCTGCACTCCTGACTGCGGAGAAGAAAGCAGGAGGCAATTCAAAGGCAATTACTTGAGAACAATTAATCAGAGGTGGGAGATAGCGGAGGTAACCACAGGAGGAAGCCTTTGGAGCTACCTGCCAGCACTGCAAGCGCCGGAGGGAGAGTTGGAACATCAGTGCGTGGGCAAGGAAGAATGCTTTATCTTGGGAGCACCCAAACATCTCCTTCTATCGCCTTAATCAAGCCTTAATTCATTCTAGCAATGAAATTAAAACAAGAAAGCAAACGCAGGAGTATGGAAAACCTAAGCTGCCTGCCTAGATGAGTAACTCTGATAATTTCATTCACCTTAATCATGTGAACCAACGCTATAATGAAGGTCATGGTGGGAACTCTCTACATCAACAGGAAGCATGAAGCAACACTTGAAGCTGAAGATTAGCATCAGGAAACCTGCTGCTATTTGCTTTTCCTCTCTATTCTGTACTTTCATCATCTATAAAACAGGAATACCGACACTCTTGCTAGCCAGGTGATGCATACTAAAACAATTCATTAATGTTTATGGGGCAATCAGAGAGGTTCAGATGAAAAGGGCTGAAGATATGAAACCGCAAAAGGCTGCAAAT